TAAATATTACCCATATGATCAACAATCATACCTATGGGATGAATTAGCGAATTGAGATTCTTATCAGCAACTTGTCCTGGAGCAACAAGAATGCCTTCGGTTGCATTTTTTATCCATTTCATCACACGATTATTCATAATATCTGCTATGTAAACCGAATGATATTCATCGACGAAAATAGAAGTAGGTTGATCGAGTTGATTAAATCGATTTCCTTTCTCATTTCCACCTGCTACAACTGTACCTTCTTTATCTCCTTGTTTCCAACGTTTGACTTGATGTTTTCCCCAATCAGAAATATAAAGATCTCCATTATTATCTATCGCTAAACCCCAACAAAGAATAGGATATATTAATATTTGTTGATCGTGACTATTTTGAAGAGACCATTGTATCACACGAAAGTTGCCGTGATCACAAATGACGATATTTTTCTTGTCTTTATCGAGAATTACATCTTTTGGATGATTCAATTGATATATTGCACTTCCTTGCCCATTTCCACCGGCAACTATTTCACCGTTGTTTCCGCTAAATTCCCATCTAACGATACGATGGTTCCACGTGTCAGCGATATAAATATTATGATCATCATCATCAACATAAATACTAGAAGGATAATTTAATTGATTCGATTTACTTCCCCATCCATTTCCTCCAGCAACAGTAATTGCATTCTGTTTCCATTTCGTATTAGTATTAATGATAACAGAAGGTATTAATTGTTCTAAAAAAACATTTCAATTTTATTTTATTTTCTTTCGGTATTATTCTATAGAAATATGATGTATAACTATTTTATGTCATTATTCAAATAAAATATCTAACGAGGGAACATTCTGATGTGTTTAAACCATTTAGATTTCACCTTTTGATGATAGGTAGACCTCAACCAGGTATGAAAAACTTGAACAAGATTTGTCCGATTGTGCTTTTATTCCTGAGAAATAGGATGAATAAAATTAGAACAGGTTACTTTATTTTTCGAAGACACTCGACATGAACTGAAACTGATTCTACATTTTAATCTAAGATTTCGAGTATTTAGTTGCACTATTCAATAGTTTTTCACCTGTTCGTTTTAGAATAAAGAATGGACTTGGAGGGAATGAAATTTCTTTTCATATTGTTTAATTATAAAACGATACCTTTGTTTGTTGTTTCAAGATTTAATCCTTCAATGATTGATGTATTTTCATCATTTGTTTTTTTCGTAAGAAAAGCAATTGCTAGAACAGCCAGGAGTAAAATAATAACAAGAATAGAAAACAGGATTCTTGTTAATTTTCTCGTGTCATAATATGCAGATCTAGAAGAAAAGATCCTTTATATGATCTACTGGAATTAATCATATACATACAATGTCGATGGTTGCATTGGATTAGCACTGACTGGATGCACACCCTGAAATAAACAAGAAAAGAAGATTATATGATGCAATGTTTTTCGTGATCTAAATAGATTACATTGTAAACGTTCACTTTGTTGCTCTTCATATCGTTGAGATTGATTCCAAATTTTAATACTTTCACAAACTAAAATCTACAAAAAACAATCTTCTCGAGTACAAATTTGTATTGAATAGGAATCTTATCAACAAAATGGTAACCTGTTTTTTTGAATATTCTTTTGATATCAGTTCTCTTACTGTTAATCTATACGTCGACTAACTTCTGACTTTTCTTAGTGTTGAATTTAGTCAACTAAAATAAAAGATTATTAAAAAAAATATGATTTATTATCATAGAGAATGTGAAAATACTAGAAAGTCATGTCCTCTTAAATAATATGTTTAAAGTAAAATATTTGCAGCAGAAAAAAATAATATATGTTAATAAAAATGATTAATTCGCTTCCTTTGTCAAGATTGATTTTGTGAAAAATATTGTCAGATGTGAGTTATGATTGCCTATGAATATAAATTTTTTTTTAAGTCGGATGTTGATTACTTAATCAAATATCAAAGTCAGTGCTTTTCAAAGGAAATAAAATGTTTTACTGTGCAAGTTTTATTTAAAAAAACTAACAATTATTACAATGTCTATTAGATGAAGTTCTTTGTGTTTGAATCTATAATCTTTATTCACTAATTGAGTTTAATGCAAAAGTGGCATATACCAGAGAACAAGATCTTATTATTGAATAGCTAGATTCGAAATAAGAGTCAGTTTGAACGTGAATGAACGAAAACGATATTTGTTGTGATCTAACTACAAAAAGTTTATTGAAACTTGTATGAAATATTATGCGTGTGAGAATTTGGTGCGCTTAATTGAAGAACAATAAGTATTGTATAAACAATATAGAAGACTAATCACTAATTCTTGTTGATTTGTTTATGATTTATGAGAACTAAATGATTGAAATTGACTTGTTTTCCCTTGAAATTAACATCGGAAATATAAACTATACTCTTGCTCTCATTCGCTTTTTTTTTGAAGATCACTAATCGATAATTCCAATCATATAATGTATTGTTAACATATTCTGCTATTGTAGTGATCTTTCGACAATAATCTGATGACTAACAATATAGTCACAGCAGAACTTCATACATTCCTAAATACATTTAATATAGTTAAAACGCTTCTCTCACATAGATTTATTTTTACAAAAATCATGTTTTTATGTTGACTAGAGCGTTGTATTTTGCAGAGTTTATTGATATTTACAGTAGAATATAGCTTACATATGGTAGAATTATTTTTTTAAAATCTGACGTAAAAGGAAGATCATCATGGAAGAGTTTTTCTCTGTATGAGGATGACCTATTGAATGCTTCTATTATTATTCGTGTGATGAAAATCATCAAAAAATCGCTCTAATTGAGCGATATCTCTATAGTGTGAATTCTGTCAGAATTTAGAAGTACACTCGATGAAGATCTTGGCAAGAAAATGAGGAGATCAGTCATAATTCGAAAGCGATCACTTCTGTCAACCTTGAGGACGTGAGGCGTGGGTGCGATCTCTAATTGATATCCATACCCACGCCCTTTATTTCATAATTGAATTATCAATAATATCAAGTTCGAATATTTTACTAATAGAAGCAATAATCGAAATATGTCAATGAATTGATTCACATTTATTTTTGTATTCATAATTTGTTCATCATCAAGATTGTAAGATAAATAAATGCATTGTTTTTTAATGAATTGACAATTATTGAGCAAAGAAAAGAAGTTCAGTCAATAAAGCAAAATAATTAATTCATGTGATTTGTATTCGTGTGCTTATTGAACACTAAACTGATGATATTAAAGAAGTTGAATTGAATATATTTTCACTTTTGAGAATAAAATAAAATAATTAATTGTAAAAGTAAAATATAATATTTTTATAAAATCATTTGAATTATTTTCTACTGTTAAATATTAAATTACAATTAAATATTTATTCATTTAATTGAGAGATTTTTTTGTATTTTCTTTTATTTATCAATATAATAGAAAAATCATTCAATTATTCTTCACCATTATATTATTTTAATTATTTATTTTATATTTTGCTTAATATTGAAATGTAAAAATAATTTTTAGAATTTTGTTTTCGTTTAACAATTTTTTCTTTTATAAAATAGATTTTCTCAGTCTAACTTTTCCATTTTGACAGATTTCATTCTTATTCATTTGGCTTTTTTCTTCTCTCTCCCCTTTCTCTCAATCAAGCATAAAATCACAAAAATAAGCCTAATAAAAAACAATTTCTTTCTATTTTGAAGCTTTTTATATCAATTTGAATGCTTTTCTCAATTTAAAAAATATTTTATTTGATTTTTCTATAAAAATTAAATTTTTTGTAACTCAGTTTTCTCTGAAATTGTTTTAGTTTGATTCATTCAACAAAAGTACTATTCGGATCACTTTATTAATTTTGGTTTTTTAATTTCAGATTAATACTAACAAATTTTTATTTACTTTTTTCTAAAAATGAA